TAGCGCGGCCCAGCCCCCTCGGCCGGAACGCGGGAGCGTGGGGCCGCACGTCGGCCGGACGTGTGCGTGGGACACCTGCGGGCCGGACCGCCGAAGGGCGCGCGCCCGGAAGCGGCATGTTGGCTGCGGGAGGGGCCCTGGCCGCCGCGGCGCAACGAGTTACTGCGCGAATTCTGCGTCCTCCCTGCGGGTGAGTACGGCCGCCCGCAGGGCTGCTGGGATGCCCGAGGCGTGTGCGGGGTCTCCGCGGCCGCCGGCCAGGTCCCTCCCGGCTGCCCTTGGAGCCAGCTGATCGTGCCTCTTACTATGGACGAAGATTCAAGGACCCTGTCGAGCAGAGGTCCTGCCCGAGTGCGCTGCAGGGTGGACGGGAGACTGAAAAATCTCCCACGTTGACCTTGCTGTCGCGTCTAGTCCTTGCGAATGCCCACGTGTGGCGGACGTTCTGGTTTTGTGTGTTGTGAGCTCCGGGCTAATCAGAGTTCGCATACTTAACTGTTGTCTCTTTCAGGCTTCTGGGAACTTGGTGGACACAGATTAGAGACACCCACCAGCGAGCATCGTTGTTGTCCTTCTGGGAACTCATTCCCATGAGGTAAAACTCAAATGCGGGCCCTGAGATTTGATAAAAAGTGGACGAATATGGAAGATCTGTTGCTGAGTGAAGCAAGTCAGGCTATGAAAGAGAGACATTGTATATCTCCACTTAACATACACCTACCGTCCGCACTTTATGGCAGAGACTGAAAGACGAGGACTTAACGCATTAAAAATTTGTTATGGACTCTCGAGCCAAAGTGGACAGAGTGTGGGAGGGGAAGAACATAGGAAATTTGGGGGGAAAAATAGAGAGGTAAGACATTTATGGGACACAGATATGGTTTATTATCTGTTGATGAAGATGTGTATAGTATTCTCAACTGGGCTGGACTGAGGTGTGTAACATGCTGGGAAAACTCTCTTTACAATTTAAATGATCTACAGCGATTAAATGTATAAATACTAGTTAAAATTAATAAATCAAAAAATCAAAACCATGGGCCTGATCTCTTTGGGGGTGTCAGACAGACATCCCAGTAACCAGAACAAGAGAAGACAGTTGGAGGCTTGCAAAATGAACAGCCTGTAAAGCTCATAGTTAAATTTAGACAGATGCTTTCCTGTGTTTTCAGCATTCTCTGTCCTATGTATCGCTGTTTGTAATCAAAAAGGTAAATGTAAAAGTAGTTTATGTACATCTCAATTAGCTCTGAGGGAGTTCTTGTGTTTTGAAGGGCGCAGCTTAAACTTTTGTTTGTCTTTGGGCCTCTAACATCCCCGGTGGGGGGGAAAGGTGTGAGGATTAAAGGTCTTTCCACTTGAGGCTCTGGATGCTTTTTAGGGACTTAATTCAGTCGCTCTTTAAGCTGGATGACTGGATTATTTTTAATAGTAAGTTATAAATAGGTGCGTTCCTTACCGTAAACCAGATTTGCGAAGCTCTAGGATGGGGAAATTTTAAGACATCCTGAAAAATAAACAGACACGGCTTACTTTCAGTTTTAAAGCTTTTATTAAAATCACGGATTCATTTAAAATGTGAATAATGAGCTTCTAATCCATCAGTTCCGGTCTTTTCACTTTTCAGTGCTGTCCCAAGGCACGGCGGAATCCCAGCACCAAGGAGGACACTTCCTCTTAGTTGACGCCCTGATGCCCCACCATCCTTTGGTACCCCTTCTTGGAGCTGATGGCACCCACACAGTTTGGATAGGGACCCTGGAGCGGAAGCTGCCTCCCCGCCGCGCTGCTCAGAGTGTCGGGAATGTGCACAGATGCTTCTCCCAGTGCAGGGCTCAGTACAAGGCCTGGGTGCTTCGCGGAGCATCCCCTCCCTGGGTATGTTCACGAGGCATAAGAGAGAAATGTTTAAGTCTTGCCTTTTCTTCATCAGAGCAGAACCTCTGCGAAAGAAAAAGAAGGTCGATCCTAAAAGAGACCAAGCAGCGAGGGACCGCTTGAAAAAGAGGATCCGAAAACTAGAAAAGGCCACCCAGGAGCTAATTCCCATCGAAGATTTTATAACTCCTTTTAAATTGTTAGATACAGCCAGGTAAGGGCCTTCCTTGGGGTTAACGTCCTCAGGGCAGAGGAGTCGGGTCGGTCAGCTTCACATGGTTTATTTATTTATTTTAATTTGAGCAGAGAGGGACAGAGTGAGAAAGAGCAAGAGAGAACGAGAAAGAGGGAAAGTGAGAAAGCAAGCCACCAGGTCTGGGACTCGAACCACTGTTGGCCATGTGGGAGTCTAGTGCTGTTAACCACCACACTACCTGTTGGCCCCAGGCACCTAGTTCTGTCTGTAGTTCTGGCCTGTGATGGGGATGGGTCACTAGGCTCGAGTTGCCTTGGCCTTAGCCTGAGACCTCTTCTGCCTGACTGCCTTTGGGGATGAGAGAAAGCTTCCGGGCTGGTGCTCTTGATTGGCTGAAGGTGGGAAAGAAACCCAGACAGCTTTGATAAGTACAAGCGAGTTCCACTCTGCACTGCCTGGAGTCCACGTTGCTGCCCTTTCGCTTGAAGTCTTGACTGTGACGGATGCCTTGGGCCTGCAGCCCTTGTTCTGTCCTGACGGTAGTAAAACCTTGGCTTCCTGTGTACCGTGCAAATGCTCAGGTTATGGGTTGGGACTGTGTAGTATACGGGGTTAGCAGCTCTTGCTGGGCCTTAATCGTGCACAATTTTTCAAGCAGTACCTTGTCCTGCAAGTGAGAAAGGGCAGGTGATTTTTTTGGTACAGGTCTGATTGAGGCTGTTGACTCCCTGGAATTTTGGTGTTTGTTTCACTTTTCTCCAGTCACTTCTTTAAAAGGATCGTGTTGGGACCAGCAGTTACCGTAATGGCTATGTCGCTGGACTCCCATGTGGTCGACCATGGTTCGAGTCCCAGACCTGGTGGCTTAACTCATGCCAGGCACGTGTGCGTGTGTGCCCAAGATCCCGAGAGGAGAATGGAGGAGAAGGGATTGCGGTGTGGCCCTCCCCCCTGGGGGGTGATTTCTCGCTTTCTATCACTCTGGCTCTTTCTGTCTTTCTGCCAAGCACATGTGCCCTATAGCAAAAAACAAACAAACAAACAAACAAAAAACCGAAACTCTCCAAAAAAAATAAATAAAAGACAATCTTTGTCTGGGGTAGAAAACGCACTTCCAGTCTCCTCTGGGCATCTTGTTTCTTTTCCCAAGGAAAAACAAATGATCTTGGTTCCCAGCATCAGCTGCAGCTGCTGTCACATTCAACACTCTCTTTCTTTCTTCTTTTTTGGGGGGAAAGATTTTTGCTATGAGGTACGTGCCTCGCCAGAGAGACAGAAAGTGAGAAATCAATCCCCAGGGAGAATGGCCTCACTGCAGTTACTTCTCCTCCATTCTCCTCTCGGGATTTTGGGGACGCACGCACATGCACATGACATGCGTTCTCAGCCATCAGGTCTGGGACTCGAACCCTGATCGACTACATGGGCGCCGAGCAAAATAACCATTATGCCATCTGCCGACATCCCCCACCCCCATTTCTTAGTTTATCCCAACCCTGCACTTTTCTTTCCCGTCATGCCTGTGTCTGGCAGTGGGGATGGTTGTGTAGACACAGACTCCCTTGCCCGGAAGTCGGTTCTCCCCAAGTTCACACCTTTGGCCTTGTGTGTTGGCAGACAGCGGCCTCAGGTGGAACTCCCCTTCGAAGAGAGCGAGCGGCGAGCACTGCTTCTGAAGCGGTGGGCCTTGTACAAGCAGCAAGAACACGAGAAGGAGAGGGACGCCATCAGGGTCAGGCTGGAGGCCCAGCAGGAAGCCCTGCAGGAGCTGAGACTCGAATCCCCGGAACTTTACGCGGAGGCCATCAAGCGGGATCCCAGCCTATTCCCCTTTGAGAGGGAAGGGCCAGATTACACGCCCCCGGTGGCTAACTACCAGCCCCCTGAAGGCAGGTACAATGACATCACCAAGGTGTACACACAGGTGGACTACAAGAAATAGCAGTGCAGGCAGCTGTCCTCAGAGCACACAGTGGCCTGGGCTCCAGCCACCTGCCCCAGAATCAGGCGTGTCGCTAATAAATGTAAGCTGACCCAAAAGCTCTTTGTCTCTGTCTGCGGACACGTGGGGTTGAGGGAGGCTGTCGCTTTGCCAGGGACCGGAAGAGGATGACAGAGATGTCAACTGCTGCCGTGCTGTGTAGTTGCAGTACAAAGGAAGATTCCAGTTGTGTGGTGAGATAGCACCAGCAAGAGGCACACAGCAACCCCGAGGAGTGGAGGCGTGGGTGTGCAGGATTCTCCCTGCTGGAAAGGTATGCAGAGAGAAGCTGGTGGGACGGACGGAGTGACGGACGGAGTGACCCCTCTGGGTTTAAGCTGGGGAGGGAAGCTGGAGAGAGTGGAGCAAACCAGGGACACACTGGTTAAGGTGCCGTGCACCCCAGGAGGGTGTGAGACCAGGCTAGGACCAGGGACACACTGGTTAAGGTGCCGTGCACCCCAGGAGGGTGTGAGACCAGGCTAGGACCAGGGACACACTGGTTAAGGTGCCGTGCACCCCAGGAGGGTGTGAGACCAGGCTAGGACCAGGGACACACTGGTTAAGGTGCCGTGCACCCCAGGAGGGTGTGAGACCAGGCTAGGACCAGGGACACACTGGTTAAGGTGCCGTGCACCCCAGGAGGGTGTGAGACCAGGCTAGGACCAGGGACACACTGGTTAAGGTGCCGTGCACCCCAGGAGGGTGTGAGACCAGGCTAGGACCAGGGACACACTGGTTAAGGTGCCGTGCACCCCAGGAGGGTGTGAGACCAGGCTAGGACCAGGGACACACTGGTTAAGGTGCCGTGCACCCCAGGAGGGTGTGAGGCCAGGCTGCGACCCCCAGGTCTTCAAGTGCTGTTACTCTGGACTGCTGAAAAGATGAAGTCCCCCCAGGCTGTCAGAACAATATACCCAGACTGGACGGCTTCAACAATAGAAATGGAATTTTCACGATTCTGGAGGCCAGAGCTCCCAAGGCCAAGCTGCTGGCAGGTTTGGTTTCAGTTCTCCTCTCGGCTTGCAGGTGGCCACGTTCTCCGTGTGTCCTCATGTGGCTGACCCTCGGTCTGCTTCCTTACCTCTCAGGTTGCCAGTCATACTGGAAAAGGCCACTCTGAGGACCTCGTTTAACATAACTGCCCCTTGTGTTGCCCTACCGCATATTCTGAGTTCCTAGGGATTAGGACTTTAAATATAGGAATGGGGGTGGTGGTGGCACAGTTTAGATTGTAGTGGTTAAGGTTCAATATAGGAAGTGAACTCCTAGAGAAACCTAGTCTGGTTCACTTTTTAAATTTTGTTTTAATTTTGTGAGAGGGTGTGTGCATTTCCAAGAAAGAGACAAGGGAAAACCAAGACCACCCCCGCGGGGCATGATCCCATGCAGTCCCTTTGCCACCCCTCCTTTTTCGACTGTAGGCACTCATTTTCTCAATTTCCTGCTCTGGCTCTCTCTGGTGTGTGCACGTGCTCTCTTGCAAATTAAAAAAAAGCCCTGAGGGACCAGCAGTTGGCGTAATGGCTATGTCGCTGGACTCCCATGTAGTCGACCGCGGTTCCAGTCCCGGGCCCGGTGACTTAAACGCACGCCGGGCGCGTGTGCGTGCGTGCCCAAGATCCCGAGAGGAGAATGGAGGAGAAGGGATTGCGGCGTGGCCATCCCCCTGGGAGGGCGGTTTCTTGCCTTTTGTCTCTCTGTCTCTCTCTGGCGAACGCACATACCCTCTCCAAAAAAAAAAAAAAAAAAGTCCTGAGCCACAGTACTTCCCATTTTCCACTGGTATGGGTATTTAAATGTGTTTCCCTCAAACTAAAATAGAAACTATTGGACACTAGGCATGGTGGAGGAGCCAGTGCAGTAACATTCTGTCCAGAGAGATTGATTTTTACTAAGCAGAACTTGTTAAGTAGCAAAGAAGGAAGGCAAAATGCAACAGTGGCAACTGTAGAGGGGGGACCTGGATTTCCTACAGAAAAGAGCAGACAGCAGGCCAGCAGGTGAAGGTGCTGGATCTCACATGGCTGACTGAACAGTTCGAGTCCCGGGCCCAGCAGCTTGAAAATCATGCTGGACGTGCGTGCATGTGTGTGTGTGTGCGCCCCAAATCCCGAGGAGACTGGAGAAGGATCACAGTGTGGCTATCCCCTCTATGAGGTCATTTTCTCACTTTTCCTTTCTCTCTCTTAGGGAGTGTACATGTCCCATAGCAAAACCGAAAGAAAAAATAGCAAAAAGTTGAACACTTGCTAACACCACGCAGTCCCAGGCGGTACAGACTCCAGAGCAGGAAGACAGGGAATGTGCCTTTAAGAGACCTGTTGGCTGGTGCCCTCAGGCTTTCCCCCTGGGCTCCCCGTCTCACCCTGGAGCAGCTGGTACAATTCCAGGCTTAGGCATCACATGCAGACTGCAAAGTCCAGGTGCCCGTCCTGAGTCTGACTTAGAAACACCGATCTCTGGCAGCCACCCTCTCTCCTTCTTGGCCAGAGCTGCGTGTTACTGAAAGTCGCAGCCAGGCTGAAGACACTTGGGTTGGCTTAGACGCATCAAGGCTCCCCCAGCAGGGGGCGCCCTGCCTCCTCCTTATACTCCTTTGCTCTTCCTCTTGGGACCCTACAGGCACACACTCCACACTACCCTCAGGGACACACGTGGATGCAGGGGGAGGCTCTTGGGAGAGCACCAGAGAAAATACATGTGAGGGGGGAATTTTAACTCTTTAGCGTATGCCCTTTGGAAAGGAGCAGAAAGCTTACGAATATTATTATTATTTGCATACAATTTTCAGTTATTGTTCCCCCAAAGAATCCACCCACTGGCTGTGGCCAGGAAAACAGCAGGAGGCTGTGGTGTGCAGGCAGCCCAGCCCACGGGCATTGCACTGCGGGGTCTGCAGTGCAGCCACCGATGCTAAACCATTCTTTTTTTTGTTTTTGTTTTTGGAGAGGTTTTTGCTATAGGGCACGTGTGCTTGCCAGGCAGACAGAGAGAGACAGAAAGCGAGAAATCACCCCCCAGGGGGGATGGCCACTCCGCAATCCCTTCTCCTCCATTCTCGTCTCTGGACCTTGGGCACGCACACACACGCACCTGGTGTGAGTTTTAAGCTACCAGGTCCGGGACTCTAACCGCGGTCGACTACATGGGAGTCCAGCAACAGCTATTATGCTAACTGCTGGTCCCTGCTAAACCATTCTTAAACATTTATTTTATTGATTTATTGTAATTTTTTCAAGCCACCGGGTCCAGATCTTGAACCACAGTCAGCCATGTGGAAATTCAGCAGTTTACCCATCATGCCACCTGCTGGCTCCAGTGCCTAACCATTTTATTAGTAATAAAAAGACCTATTCAGGGACCAGCAGTTAGCGTAATGGCTATGTTGCTGGACTCCCATATAGTCGACTGCAGTTCGTGTCCCGGGCCCAGTGGCTTAAAACTCACCCCTGGAGGTGATTTCTCGCTTTTCTGTCTCTTTGTCTCTGTCTGTCTGGCGAGCGCATGCACGCGCCTTATAGCAAAAAACCTCTCCCCAAAAAAAAAAAAAGACCTATTCAAGAACTCATTTTCTTTCTTTCTTTTTTTTTATAATTATTTATTTTATTTATTCATCCATTTATTTTAATTTGACCAGAGAGAAACAGAGAGGGTGAGAGTGAGAGAGAGAGGAAGTGAGAAAGCAAGCCACCAGATTCAGAACTTGAACCCTGGTCGGCTGAATGGGAGTGTCCAGCGCCTTAACCACCACGCCATCTGCTGGTCCCAAGAACTCATTTTCTTAGTGGCTCACGTACAATACATTTTTTCAGGATAATGATTTATTTATTTAGGTATTCATAGTTTTAATGCATTTTTTAATTTCAAGAAAAAGTAGGGAACCAGCAGTTAGTGTAATGGCTATGTCGCTGGACTCCCACATAGTTGACTGTGGTTCGCGTCCCGGACCCAGTGGCTTAAAACTCATGCCGGGCGCGTGTGCGTGCATGCTCAAGATCCCGAGAGGAGAATGGAGGAGAAGGGATTGCGGCGTGACCACCCCCTCGGGGAGGTGATTTCTTGCTTTCTGTCTCTATGTCTGTCTGTCTGGCGAACGCATGTGCCCTATAGCGAAAACCTCTTCAAAAAAAAAGAGAAAAACTTTATATTTAAATTTATTTATTTTTAAAATTTATTTATTTTAATTTGATCACAGATGGACAGTGAGAGAAAGATGGAGAGGGAAGGCGAGAAAGCAAGCTGCCAGGTCCAGAACTTGAACCACGGTCGGCCATGTGGAAGCCCAGCACCCTTAACCACCACGCCACCTGCCGGCCCCTAAATTTATTTATTTACGTTCACTTACTAGACATCATTAGAGCATACAAAATGAGATTTTTTTCCATTTAGAATACACTGTATATAAAAGTATGGAACGCTTCATGAATCTGCGTGTCATCCTTGCGCAAGGGCCAGGCTAATCTCTGTATGGTTTCAATTTTAGTACATGTGCTGCCGAAATGAGCACTGTACAATACATTTCAAAAACATTTGCAAGAGAATAAAACATTTGCAAGAAAATTCTAGTACAGTCCAGGCAGTACGGGTGTAAAATCTCACACACATGGATTTAATGTTCAGCTTCTATTTGGAACCAAACGTGTAAAAAGGCTCTTGGTACAGCAGCAACCAGGGCAAATGTTGAGGGACCGAGATGGAAATCCCACGTGTCTTACACTTGCATTTCGTAAGCGGGGTCCGTGGACCCTCTTTATGCAAGGTCGTGTGTTCCACGGTGTTGAGTGTTCATTACTTTTTATTTCTTAAGGAATTCTATAATTTTATTTATTATTATTTTCAATTTGATCAGAAAGAGAGGGAAAGTGAGAAAGCAAGCCACCAGGTCCAGGACTCAAACGGCGGTCCGCCATGTGGGAGTCCACTGCCTTAACCACCATGCCACCTGCTGGCCCCAAGGTGTTCATTTCTTAAAACTAGAGTCTTCCTGGGCCTACCTGGAAGCCGAAGAGGTGAAGCAAGCTGGTGCAGAGGGGCTGGCGGCCCCTTCCTGCTCAGCCTACCCGCTCTTCGTCTGTAGTGGGTCTGAGTAGGCTGCAGCAGAGTGGCAACTCCATGCTTTGGGTGCTGGGAGTTGGCAATACGCGGTCACTAAGCCTGGGACACGCTGGCCTGTTTCTCCAGGACAGAAAAGGTGTTCACAGCAGCACAACCGTTGAGCTCCTGCATTGACCTGAGGGTGCTAGATCCCAGGACTGCTGTGTCCTGTTGTCCAGGGGGTCCGTGGGCCAGCATGACCTGGCTGCTCACAGATGAAGCTGTGGAGGGGTACAGTTGTCTTCCAGAGCATCATGGGATGAGTGACACACAGGTAAGGAGTGGGCAAGTCGGACTGGAGACCACCCACTCTGGGTTTCAAGCCAGGCGGGACCCCCAAGGCTGTGTGGGCCAGTCACGGTCCTTTGGGCTGAGAACCTCACTTGAAATGGACCAGAAGAAGGAGCACAGGCCTAAGCAGGGGCGCTTGTCACTCGTCCCTCGTCCTTCTCCTCTGGCGGCAGAGGCAGGTGCCAGTCCGCAGGGGGGCTCTGCCGCAGGGTCCACACCAGGGTATGCTTTTGTGCAGCCTGGACTCTTGCTCGCTCGCTCTCACAAAGAGATCGCTGTGTAAAGGAGACTCTGGTCACTTCCGTACCAAGGCTGGGCCCCAGGGTCCCAAGAATCATCACAGGCCCCTGAAGGTCCCTCCTCAGCACACTCCTGGACACAGATGGATAAATGGGAGCACAGTGCATGCTGCAGCTCACCCCCACCCGGTATGCCGTGACGGCTGCCCACGTCGGCACCGGCACGGGGATCTAGACCATTCTTTCTCACAAGCTCCTGTGATAAACTACTATGATAAACCATCTCCTGGGCCTCGGCGCCGTGGCTGTGGTTAGCCTAGTGAGTCTGGGGCAGGCTCACCCGCTGAGACAGAGGCTGCGGGCACCGAGTGAAGGAGAGAGCCCTGAAAGTGCTGCTGCGGGGAGCCACAGGGAACAGAGTGGTTAGAAGGGAACAAGATAAGAGGGACCAGCAGTTGGCATAATGGCTATGTCACTGGACTCCCACGCAGTCGACCGCGGTTCGAGTCCCGAACCCTGTGGCTTAAACTCACGCCGGGTGCGTGTGCGTGCGTGCCCAAGATCCCGAGAGGAGAATGGAGGAGAAGGGATTGCGGCGTGGCCATCCCCCCTGGGGGGTGATTTCTCGCTTTCTGTCTCTCTGGCGAGTGCACACGCCCTATAGCAAAAAACCACTCCAAAAAAAAAAAAGTGAAAAAAAAGGAAATAAGAGACACCTGCCAGGGTGTCCCGGAAGGGCGTGCAGACAACAGGCCACCGACACAGGGCTGTGCATAACAGGTGCTGCTCCAGCCATCGGCTTCTCTTAGCCACTGTCCCCTCACACACAAGGCAGTGAAACAGCACAGGGGCCACCTCGCTGTGGGCTCTTGGTAGGTGTCGGGTGCTATGCAGGCTTCTTACACGCACAATTTAGTCTGTCTACTTCATTCCTGTTCTGTGTGATGCTTTTAGACTAAAAAGAATTATTATTATTTTATTTAACACTGTTTATTCATTCATTTATTTTAATTTAACCAGAAAGGGACAGAGTGAAAGAGAGTGAGAAAGTAAGCCTCCAGGTCTGGGACTCGAACTGCGGTCCACCATGTGGGAGGCCAGTGCCCTTAACCACCATGCCACCTGCCAGCCCCTGTGTGATGCTGTCTGTTCTTGTCTAAAGTGATCAGAAATGCAGCATGGACTGTGAAAGACTCCCAGACCTCCATCCCCGAGATGGCCAGTAACAGGTTTCCCCAACACCTTTTTGGGTTTATCTTTGAGATCTATCATACGGTTCGTTAAAGATGGAGTAACGTTCTGTGTGGTCACCGACTTCCTGCTGTTCTCACTGACCAATGTACTGCAGGCTCCTTTCCGTGCCACGGAGACCATTACTCTTCTGTATGGCTCCGCGGTACCCCACTGTGTGCAAATCTTTATTTAGTCAAATGTGTATTCGTGAAATTTACATGGCTTACACCATCACAGTGACACGTGAATATCTTGAACTGTGTGCTGTTATCCAATTACTTCCGCAGGATCAACTTCCAGAAGTGGAACTTGTGGATCGTTAACACCTGACATTCAGTCCCACCAACACGACACCTGTACCCTGGACTCTAATCCCTTGTCGACACTTCTCATTTTCCCCTGGCGAAAATAATTCCCCTTATTGTCATTATAACTGGAACACTTGCTCACTTGGTTTTCTTTTTAAATGAACTTCTTGGTGCCGCTACACATTTTTCTATTCCGACACCATTCCCCTTTTTATTTTTATTTATTTATTTGGAGAGGTTTTTGCCATAGGGTGCGTGCACTTGCCAGAAAGTCAGAGAGAGACAGAGAGACAGAAAGCGAGAAATCACCCCCCGGGGGGATGGCCACACCACAATCCCTTCTCCTCCATTCTCCTCTCAGGATCTTGGGCACGCATGCACACGTGCTTGGCGTGAGTTTAAGCCACCGGGTCCGGGACTTGAACTGCGGTCGGCAACATGGGAGTTCAGCGACATAGCCATTACGCTAACTGCTGGTCCCCCCGTTTTTCTTATTGATAAGTAAGTAAGATTCTTAAACAAAATACAAGGTAATTCAGAGAGTTTATGGAAAGATAGACTTAAAGTATGAGTTTATTTTGGTGCAAGAAAAATGAAATTCATGCATAATTTTTCTCATAAGATGCATTTTCTATGAACATTTTAAAGTTTCGTGGTACCGGGGCCAGTGGGTAGTGTGGTGGTTGGGATCCTGGACTCCCACACGGTCAACCATGGTTCGAGTCTCAGACCCAGTGGCTTGAGACTGAGCCCAGGCACATGCATGTGTGCCCCAAATCCTGACAGACTAGAGAAGGGATTGTGGCATAGCCATGCCCCCGGTGGGGGGGTGACTTCTCCCTTTCTTGCTGTGTCTCCGATGAGCCCACATGCCCTATAGCAAGAATCTCTCCAAAAAATAGAAAATAAAAAAAGATTTCTGGTATACACATATATACTTGTATGTATGTATGTATGTATGTGTGTGTTGTGTGTATTTCCATGTATGTGTATAATAACCGTACATGTAAGAAGAGAGGTTATCGTTCTCTCTTTTTTTTTTTTTTTTGGAGAGGTTTTTGCTATAGGGCGCGTGCACTCGCCAGAAAGACAGAGAGAGACAGAGAGACAGAAAGTGAGAAATCACCCCCCAGGGGGGTTGGCCATGCCACAATCCCTTCTCCTCCATTCTCCTCTCGGGATCTTGGGCATGCACGCACATGCGCCCGGCGTGAGTTTAAGCCACTGGGTTCGGGACTCGAACCAAGGTAGACTATGTGGGAGTCCAGCGACATAGCCATTACGCTAACTGCTGGTCCCTCAATCTCTTGCCATATATGCTACCTTCTTTGGAGTGTCACTTATTACCGGCTCGTCATCATGTCCTTTAATCCCGCGGTTTGGTTTCCCTACCAGGTCCTTTCAGAATAATCACATACAATTAGCGGCCATGGCCAGCCCTGCTGTCTCCCTTTTCCTGACTCCCCATGAGCTCTGCACCCTCCCGCTCCTCTCCTGCGCTCCCCCACCCCCAGCTCCGAGGTCCCACTGCATTCTGGGGGAGTGCGAGTGCCAGGAAGGCAGGGGCTCTGTTCCCAATCACTTGTGTTCCCCAAGAAAGCGCAACATGCTAAATACCTGGCAAGCGGGTGGGCACGCAACCGCACCTACTGGTCCCCGCCTGTCTCTGGTGTACTCTGCGCCCTGGCAGCTACATCCATCTTTTCAAGACATAAACCAAGTGATGCTCCTCAGCACACTTTCAGGGTACACTTCCAACTGTTTATCAGGGCTCGCCAAGTTCCCCATAAGCCCCCCATCCACCTCCCGCCCCTCGCTCCCCCTTACTCTGGACACCTGCGCCTTCTTTCTGTTCCTCAGGAGTGTCCCCGGGTTTGAATCAAAGGCTAACGCTGGCTCCGGGTCACTCGGGACTCAGCGGTCCGGCTGACGACCCTAAGATCGGAAGTCGGTCCTCCTCCCTGTGCAAGCACTCTGCACCCCAGCCCTGGCCTGCCCTTCCTCCCATCTTCACGCCATCTGAAAGTCCCGTTGATACACTAGTGTTTGGTATTTCTCCAAAGATCGGAAGCCCGAGGAGGGACGGCTCCGCGGTGAGGCCCCGGCCCCCCGGCCCCGCGATGCGCCCCGGGCCTCCCCTCCTGCACCTGGGCCTCGGCGCTGCGGCGCTCCTCCCAGTCGCGGCAGCTGG